AACTATGTTGTCAATACGCCCGACAGAAGAAAGAAACAGACAGTGTATCATGTCAACTCACTGAAAAAGTATTATGATAATTGTAACAATTTTCAATCCACAGCTAAAATTACTTTACCTGTATGTTCAAATGTTTCTGATGATGTGATACATGATAAATTGAAACCCCCAAAATTGGTAAATTCTTCCTTTTTAGATAATTTGAATGTCCACCTTATGCATTTGTCCACAGAGGAAAGCCATAGATTGTCTCAGTTATTTGAGACATTTCCCTCTATCTTTGGGGATGTCCCCAAGGAAGCGAAGGTTCCACCTCATGATGTAGACGTTGGTGACGCAAAACCCATTAAACAACACCGCTATAGAGTTAATCCGGAAAAAGCTGCTTTGATAAAAGATGAAATTGATTATATGCTCAAGAATGATATCATTGAGCCCAGTTTCAGCAACTGGAATTCCCCATGTCTCCTAGTCCCGAAAGACGGTGGATCTTTCAGGTTTGTGACCGACTTTAGGAAAGTAAATGCGCTCACCAAAGCTGATTCCTATCCTTTACCTCGGATAGAAGACGTTATTGATAAAGTTGGTCAAGCTAAGATAATTTCCAAAATTGATTTACTTTCAGGATACTGGCAAATCCCCTTATCTGACCGTGCAAAAGAAATATCTGCTTTTGTAACCCCTAATGGTTTTTATAGATACAAACGTATGCCTTTTGGTATGCGAAATGCTGGTCAAACTTTCCAGAGGGTCATTAACTCTGTCATTGCTGACATAGACCAATGTGAGGCCTACATAGATGATATAGTTGTATTTTCTAATACTTTTGAAGAACATATTGTTCAATTGACTAACCTTTTTAGAAAATTGTCTGAAGTTAATTTTACTGTAAACTTACATAAAAGTGATTTCTGTAAAGCTTCAATTACCTATTTGGGTTATCAAGTGGGAACGAACCAAGTTCGGCCCATTGAAGCTAAAGTAGATGCTATTGTAAGGTTACCACCTCCCAAAAATTGTAAAGAGATCAAAAAGTTCCTTGGGATGGCTGGTTACTATAGACGGTTCTGTCAAAACTTTTCAGCTATTGCTGAACCTCTTACTGCATTATTGAAAAAGGGTGTTGAGTTTGAATGGTCAGATAAATGTCAAGAAGCTTTTTTAACCATTAAGTCATTTCTATCTAATGCTCCTGTTAAGGCTGCACCAAATTTCAGCAAGCCCTTTAAACTTGCCATTGATGCTAGCAACTTAGCCATTGGCTCAGTCCTATTTCAAGAAGACAACATGGGAATTGACCATCCCATTGCCTTTTTTTCCAGGAAGTTAAATGAGAACCAAAAGAATTACTCTACTATTGAAAAAGAGGCTTTAGCTTTGGTTTTGTCATTACAACATTTTGAAGTCTATGTCTCTTCTTCAACCAATCCAGTCAGAGTGTTTTCTGACCATGATCCCCTGAAATTTACCTCTAAGTTAGGACAGACAAATCAAAGAATATTGAGATGGTGCTTATATTTCCAAAATTTTAATCTGGAAATTTCACACATTAAGGGTAGTGATAATGTTGTGGCTGATTGTTTGTCAAGGATGTAAAATCTTGTTACACACATTGATCATGTGACATGCTTTGTGGTTCATTAGGACCATAAACAGGTTTTGTTTGAGTGTCACTCATATGAAAATGAGTGGTGTGAGTTTTGAATTTTTTTCAAAATTCCAATCCTGTTGAATATTTTGTTTATTTTCAGGTGAACCTTAATTAAAGGTAGTTTTTGATTATATGTAATCTTTTATAATAATATGTCTCATATGACTCAATTGATATTGTAGCTAGTCATAGAAATAAAGGTCTTACCCTGGCGGGTTTACCACTTTTAATATTCTCATGGAAAAATTGTAATCCCCCTTTTGAGGGATTTTGATGTATAATTACCTTTTGAAGGGTTACTCCCCTTTCACCAATTGTAAAAGTTGGAGTTACTTCCCTTTTATGTTCAGGGATATTTTCATCTGGTATTATGATTTTGATTGCCTACATTTGTAAAACATTTTTGTTATTTCATTGCCAGATTGGTTCCTTATGTATGTTTTTGTGGAACCTATCTGTCACTTCCAAAAAGGGAGGGGATGTGACCTACTTAGGTCGAGTCATTTTTATTTTGACATTGTATAATTCCTTATATGGAATGATGGTGTAACACCTGGGGTTTTTCCACTGACTTATTAAGGTGTTTGAGACATAGAAATTTTCCATTAAAATCTGATTGAATGATCCTGATCAGATGATTATCCCAACCAATGGCGACATGAGTTGAGGATAACCTCCCCTGTCACAGAAGTCTTTAATTGCACTGCACACTCGCAACACGAGGCAGTTTTTCTTGACCTGGTAGTCTACGGGGCCGTTTTACCTCGTTCAGGCAGCCGTCCATATTGTCCGGCTATAGACTCTGACCATTTGAACGTGAGAGTACTTAAGACCTGTGTGTGCCTTGCTTTCTTAAGTTGATTTAGTCTTCTAGTTTAATATTACTTGTCGCTAAGTAATTCCTGAAGCTACAGCAGTGTTGTGTGGCCTGTGGCTGTTCTTTTGACAGTGTAGAAATCTGTGATAGTGATTTTTCCTACATTTTGTAAGTTGTGTTTTGATATTTTATACATTAAATATTTTATCTAGTTCATCTTTGTGTTCTGCCACAACTGAGTTCGCTGATTAAAAGGTCGTATGTAGATTGGATGAGTGTTAATTACAACAGTATCACTAGCTCCCCTAGACATTAAATTCGAGCCCTAGTGGGTCGTTGTGTTAAGTGTTCATCCACTTAGGCCGTAAGGCATTTGCATATGACCCCGAAAAAAGAATCCGGGGACGTTCTCCTTCTATTTAGCTGATAGATAGGTTAACGTTACAATGCGCAGATAAAAACACGACTAGCCGTTAAAGTTGGAGCATACGATCACCAAACCTACGCGAGACATTGTAGAAGCACACAAAAAAAGGTGTGGGTACAGGCAAGGCTGCAACTGGTTGGCTGTGTAATCAACACAGGACCGGTTAAATTGCCGGTTAAATACACCAAAGGGTAGTAGAATCTAGGTTACACCGAGCTCTTAGTAAAACAAAACTTTTAACTACCGTAGAGAGAAGTACCTAGCCTTTAAGCGGTCTCTAAAACTTAACTTATTAGCCAATCAGAAAATTTGTCTAAGCCATGGATGTAGGCTACTCATCGATTACCATATATACTATTTTCTATTTCAGTCTTAGCCAATCAGAAAATTTGTCTAAGCCATGGATGACCTCAACGATTACCATATAAACTATTTTCTATTTCAGTCTCAGCCAATCAGAAAATTTGTCTAACTAAGCTACGGTTGACCTCACCGATTACCATATAACTTAGCTTCTACGTCTACTTAGTGTAAAGAACCACGTCACAGACATGCCCAGACGCCACAAAAAGGGTTCCGAGCTCTCAGAAGCACAAGTTCCCTGTTCGCTTACAGCTAGGCACCAAGCCTATAGGAGCCGGGCACCAACCTTCCATAAGCTGAGCAGAGCACTCGTCCAACTAACCACGGTAGACCTACACGAGGACAATCACACGAACCGATCACTGGGTAAGCTAAAATAGGCACGGATATACACATACCCTAAAGCAAGTGTACAACCCTAGCTAATCGAGCTCTTAGAAAAACAAAGTTCTAATTATATATTGAGACAAGTATCAAGAGTTTAGCGAACGGTCAATTTCCGAGGGTCGCTAAAATTTCGACAATCATCGCGCGAGCTAATCAGAAAATTTGCTTAGCTAAGCCACGGGTCGCCTGCCAAAGGCGCGGGTTATACGCCAGTGTCTTAGTGTAAAAACCACGTGATGGGGCCGTGCATTTTACAATGCGTCGGTGAGTTTACTAATCACGTGCTACTCTAGCGCGAGCCGCGTAGATAAAAGCACACATTCATCATGACCTACATGATATGAGTCAAGGCCGATTTCTAGAAGTTCGAAATTCTATCGCCAGAGTCGATAGTTCGATCAAAAGCAACTCGGGACTAGATCTAGATCTAGATCCAGATCTAAAATGAATTGAAATCAGCCCGATCAAAATTGTACATCAGTCAAGATTCATTCAAAATGTGCGAACGTAAAAGAAGACATATAACACACCTTTACATATTCCTTGTTGCTGTGGTTTCTGTAGTTGATCTCATTTTAAAAAACTGTTGCTTCTTGAAGAACTTACTAGAATTTTTAACTTTGTTTCCTGTAAAAATTGTAATCTAATAATATAAAGCGCCATTTTGTTTGAAATGTTAAATCAGCGCGTTCATCTGCGGTGCAACTAAGTTTTGGACACATCCGTTTTGTGTTTAAAAATAAATCTCTCTCAAATAGATTCTTTTTGTTCTGCAATTTTGTTTACATTTTGTACAATACAAGTTATGCTAGACTGTCGAATAGCAGGATGTCATTGTTTATGTCGCCATTATGACGTGAAAACCAAATTGTTTTTGCCTTTTAAAAAAAAAATTGTGTTTAATAACCGCAAATACTTAAACATCAAATACATCCAATCTATTTAAAGTCGGAAAAATCAAATAGTCGTGATTTTATAACCATATTAATTTTAATAACATTGTGCAAGATTTAAAAAAATAAATTTAATAGGCCTCTCGAATACCTTTGAGACTTCTCTCGCTCGGGTCCATTTCTTCAGGTCATCTTAGGTCTTTAAAACGATCGATTTCTAATTTATTAGTAGTTTTAATGTTTACTCTTTTCTGAAACTGTTTTATTTATGCGTTTTTCCGTTTTTGTTGAATATGTTTAATGAAGATACAATGTTAATCATGAAACTAGTAACACACACAAATAACTTTCTTAGTAAAAAAAAAAGTTGCAACTAAAATTGTAAAGAAAAATTGAAGTTAAAATACTAGAAAGAAATAAAATGTAAAAAAAAAAAGATATTTTTGTTTTTGATTCATTTATTAGCGATCTAACGATGTTAAGATGGGAGATCATTGGTCTAACCGTGGCTAAATCATAAGTCGTGTAAAGTGCGGCTCTCTTTTCGCCATGGGCTGACTTTGTTCAGGGTAGATTTGTTCTCGGGAGTAATGCAGTCTTTGTTTAAATATCGCAGATTAATGTCTGCTTGTTTATTGTTGATGGCGCTTCCAGATATGTAGTATTTATCCTTTTCAAACTTTATTTACCGTTTGGCTGGTTATAGTTGCGATCAGGGATGGCTGATTCTAAAGTTATTCATTTTTAGTGGTGTTACATTTTTAGTGGTGTTACATTTTTAGTGGTGTTACATTTTTAGTGATGTTACATTTTAGTGGTGTTACATTTTTAGTGGTGTTACATTTTTAGTGATGTTACATTTTAGTGGTGTTACATTTTTAGTGGTGTTACATTTTTAGTGGTGTTACATTTTTAGTGGTGTTACATTTTTAGTGATGTTACATTTTTAGTGGTGTTACATTACGAGGGTAGGATACCGATGAAAGGTTTGGAAAATATTTTTTGTTGATGATAATTTTGTTTTTGTTTTATTAACGAAGTTGCCCATTTGAATTAAGGACTGATGTAGGCCTTGATCTTTTAATGACGTAAACTTTTGGTTAGCTGTTTAGCTAGGTGATTGCTGATTTGCTCGCAAGACATTCAGATAAGGGCTCTGATTTAAAGGGCGAATAATTTTCTTTATAAATAATACTAATAGCTGACAGTTACTGACATGAAGATAGGTTAATATTGAACCGTTTAACATTTAGGCTTGATGTAGGTATGTCATGGAGATGGGTAAACATTGAAACATTCAACATTTTGGCTTGATTAAAGTCAATTATTTGTTTTTAAGACAAGCAGCAACCGGATATGTAAACTTTTCATGGCGTCTTCATTTCAGCGACTTATAGTTTCAAAGAAGATACTCCAACCCTGTCATTGATGTCTTTAATTCTGCTGACGGAAATGTAGAGGTTGATAAAATCTAGTCTGTTGGTTTCAAAATGGGCTGTTAGTGCTTCTGTGCGTGATTTTTTTCCTATTCGTCTTTCTCTGGGTGTAGGAGATAGACGGTGCAAGGTAAACTCTGCTTCTGATCCTCAGGGTACAGCCGGTCAACGATCACGACCTGACTCTCCCCGGCGTCTTCTGCAGGATCGACGTTCTCCTCGTGGCTCTCTTTTGCGTCTACTGCAGGATTTACGCTCTCCTTGTGACTCTCTCCTGCGTCTACTGCAGGATCGACGCTCTCCTCGTGACTCTCCCCGGCGTCTACTGCAGGATTTACGCTCTCCTTGTGACTCTCTCCTGCATCTACTGCAGGATCGACGCTCTCCTTGTGACTCTCTCCGGCGTCTTCAGCAGGATCGACGCTCTCCTTGTGACTCTCCCCGGCGTCTACTGCAGGATTTACGCTCTCCTTGTGACTCTCTCCTGCGTCTACTGCAGGATCGACGCTCTCCTTGTGACTCTCTCCGGCGTCTTCAGCAGGATCGACGCTCTCCTTGTGACTCTCTCCTGCGTCTACTGCAGGATCGACGCTCTCCTTGTGACTCTCTCCGGCGTCTTCTGCAGAATCGACGCTCTCCTCATGACTCTCCCAATCGTCTTCTGTAATATCGCTGCTCTCCTCATCGCTCTCCCAATAGTCTTCTAAAATATAGATGCTCCCCTCGTCTACCTCATCTACTTCTGAGCGTGTACGTTCAGCGATCGCGGTTTGGTCATGCGCATCGACTTCTGGGTTTACCTGTTCGACCAGAAAGGTCTGGCGACCTTCGGTGTATTCTGGGACCATTCGTTGGACGACCATATCTGAAACAAAAATTACCTTTATATTAATGTACATACATATATAAACATGCTCGTGATCAGCCATATAGATACGATAACACACATGCATATACACACATATGGGACGGCGTGGTCTTGTGGTAGGGCGTTTAAACGCTAACCCAAAAAGTCTAGAGCTCTGAACCCCTGCTCGAGTGTGTCTCGGAGTCAACCCCAGCCCAGATGGGTACCTGACTCACGTTAGGGAAAGTAGAGGCGGGTTGACATAGTTCCGGCTACACTATCTTGTCATACTCCAAGGTCATTGAAACAAGTGAACTCAACTATACTTGCCCCCGAAAGGTTTGAAGGTGTATTTCACTAACTTTTACTTATGTACATACACATGCTCGTGCATACGTGCACGCATGTAATAACACATATGCATATACATACATACACATACAGATGCCCTTTATTGACGCACGCTGACGCCACTTTAGAGTAAAAACAGTGGAAAATAAATCGGGAGTGATCTCCCCTAAACTTTCTCGAATATTCTTATATAACTCGGAATATAGACATGATTTTTAATTACTTTTTAAAATAGAATAGAATCTCGTAGAAAAAAAGAATTGCGCACAAAGCGAACGCCAAAACAAAATGTGCATAATAGTGCGCAATATTATTAGTACTCTATAAATTTACATGCGTTTTTTGAGAAATCGGAAATAGCGTAAATTAGTATTTTCTGTCAAAGGAAATTACTCAAAATTCGACAGAAGGTAGAGAATTAGATCTTTTACTTACATGTTAAATTCCATTTATCTATCTGAAATAGTACTCAAGTTATAGGCTTTTGAAAAATTCAAAGTAGAAAAAGTACCACTTCCGGTTATGGTAAATCGCTCAAAAGTTAATCAGGATCTACGATTTTGATAAAATACTTATATCTGAAATTTCATCAACCTAGCTGTAACGGTACTCAAGTTATCGTGTTTACACACAGACAGACATACAGACAGACACACAGACATTCGGACAAGATTGCAAAATTATGTTTTTCCGTATCAGTGAGGTGTAAAACGTCGAGATTTGTAAAAATCTCGATTTTTTTTTTTGCACGATTACAATACTTTCTCTATACTTGGTATATAGGCCCTACGAGAAAGTAAAAACGCTCACACCGTATTCAGCTTGATTGAGGCATTGCTAGTAATGTGTCCTGTTATCTCCCTTTTATTGTTCTAGCAATCTTTAAATTATTTTTAATGACTTATTAATTATCAAGTTAGTTTAAACCAAAATCGAATCATGAATGTTGCTAAAAATTCAGCGTTGCTACAAACGTACAGACATACATGTGTTCCAGACTTATCAACGTGACTTACGGCAAGTGAGCGTACAGAATATCCCTGTAACAAATACACCAATGAGAAAACTCAGGAGAAGCTCGACATCATGGATATGCTTACAGTTTACTTCTCTTTGACCCAGATTTCCAAAGTGAACGGCTGTGGAAATTTTAAAAAATGTTATACCTATATCAATTAATGTGTCTCTGTACATTATGTATATAATTTTCTGTCTGTTTGTCATTGTATGTGTTAGCATGTGTTGTGCGGCTCTCTCTGGTGTGTGTGTTTGTGTTTGTGTGTGTGCGTGTCTAGGTGATGGCGGGTTTGTTTTTGCATGGTAAATCTGTGTGATGGGTGTGTCTGTGAGATGGGTGTGTCTGTGTTTATGGGTGTGTCTGTGTTATGTGTGTGTGTCTGTTTGATGGGTGTATCGTGTGATGGGTGTGTCTGTGTGATAGGTGTGTCTGTGTTTATGGGTGTGTCTGTGTTTATGGGTGTGTCTGTGTTTATGGGTGTGTCTGTGTTTATGGGTGTGTCTGTGTGATAGGTGTGTCTGTGTTTATGGGTGTGTCTGTGTTTATGGTGTGTCTGTGTTTATGGGTGTGTCTGTGTTTATGGGTGTGTCTGTGTTTATGGGTGTGTCTGTGTTTATGGGTGTGTCTGTGTTTATGGGTGTGTCTGTGTTTATGGGTGTGTCTGTGTTTATGGGTGTGTCTGTGTGATAGGTGTGTCTGTGTGATGGGCGTGTCTGTGTGATAGGTGTGTCTGTGTGATATGTGTGTCTGTGTGATGGGTGTGTCTGTGTAAAAGGGTGTGTCTGTGTTATGTGCGTGTCTGTATGATGGGTGTGTCTGTGTAAGTGGGTGTGTTTGTATGCATATGTGGGTCTAAGGGTGCATGCATGTGCCTTTGTGTGTATGTATGTGTCGGTTTTGGATTAGGTGTGTCTGTGGCTATGTGTGTGTCTATGTGTGTGCGTGTGTGTGATACTGTATCTGAGTATGTTTGTTTAGGCACGGGGTGTGTGTCTGATGTGCATCTGTGTGCGTGTGCGTGTGTGGGCATTCTATTGTATTGACTCACCCAAGGCCGTACCCACAAAAGCACTTAAACCAGTCAAAATGTAATTCTCCATTTCCTGCCTGTAACCTACATCACAAACAGAATAAATAAATTCACAATTCCGTTATGAGGTACCAATAGTTATTGTTTGGTGTTCATAAGCATACATGTTCATTTACAAATAATAACATTAAAGTTACAGAGCGTGGACTTTGTTCTAGCTTTTGACATAGCGCGAGGTTCTTGGAAAAAGAGAAGCGTTTAGTTTAAGTCCTTTCTTTTTAATAACCCAAATCCTAACAGCAATAAACCGGGAGTGATCTCCCCTAAACTTTCTCGAATATTCTTATATAAAATAACAGGGGATGGGAACTCGGGCTATAGACATGATTTTTAATCCATTTTAAATACTTAAAGTTTTAAAAATAGAATAAAATCTCGTAGACAAATTAATTGCACACCAAGTGAACGCGAAATAAAAAAGCGCATAATAGTGCGCAATATTATTAGTACTTTTAAAATTTACATTAGTTTTTTGAGAAATCGGAAGTAGCGTAAAGTACTACTTCCAGTCAACGGAATTGACTCAAAGTTTAATAGAAGGTAGAGAATTAGATCTTTTACTTACGTATGACATTTCATTTATCTATCTGAAATAGTACTCAAGTTATAGGCTTTTGAAAAATTCAAAGTAGGAAAAGTACCACTTCCGGTTATCGGAAATCGCTCAAAAGTTGATACGGATCTACGATTTTGATTAAATACTTATATATGAAATTTCATCAACCTAGCTGTAACGGTACTCAAGTTATCGTGTTTACACACGGACACACACACACACACACACACACAGACACACAGACATACGGACAAGATTGCAAAATTATGTTTTTCCGTATCAGTGAGATGCAAAACGTCGAGATTTGCAAAAATCTCGATTTTTTTTTTTTTGCACGATTACAAGACTTTCTCTATACTTCGTATATACGAGAAAGTAAAAATAGCTGATGCAACATCTCGATATAAAGATGGCGCATTTTATCCGTTAATCTTGTCCATCAGTGATAGGTAGTTTCACTTATGTAGGAACGTCATCATTAAATCGAGCCATTGTCCTTGCTCCATACAAAACTATAACCTTAAAATACCATTAACTTAGGTACGAACCTCATCATAAAACCTACTCGTATAACTAATAGGTTAATAAATAAATGCCGTTGATTTTCGGTTATACAGAGGTGTGGTCACAACAGTGCGATAATAACCCAATAATAATTCTTGCAGATTGTACCTTAACGATGCTCTACGAATGTCACTAACTTACCCTAACCGTACCCCGAACAACAATGCGATAATAACCCAATAACAATTTATGCAGATCGTACTGTAGCGATGCTCTGCTAGTGTCACTATCCCAGAGGCGTAGCGAGGGGGGGGGGGTGCGGACCGCACCGGGTGACACAATTTAGGGGGGTGACACCAAGGCAAAAAATAGCAAAATATATAGAGAAAAACTTGAGGGGGATGCAAATCGAAAGGTTGAAGGGGGGGGGGGTTGCTAATCGAAAATTTGTCCGCGGGTAGGATCGCTACGCCTCCGGGGGGGGGGGGGGAGGGGTGACACCATTAAGTGCCGCATCGGGTGACACCCGACCTCGCTACGCCACTGCACTATCCTTACCCTAACCGTTACCCAACCATTTCTCTTTACTTCATCCCCAGCCATGACCATAACCTACTTTCTAACTATGACGTCAAATAAGCCCTGGCTAATCATGGACTTCACATTATTACCAGGCAAAGTAAAATCTCGATATGATGCCATATGGCTCCAATTATATATCTAAAACAAAATTTAGTAAAAAAAAAAGCCAAAAACATTTCTGGTGGCCATTTGATAATGTTAATTGAAATTAAAATAAACTAGTAATAACGAGGTCAAGCTGTCGATTAGCTAAGGAATTAAAGTTGGTATTAGCAAAATGATAAGACAAAAGGGTTTCAATTTTACAGCATTTTACTTATTTATTTGTTTCATTTATCACATACGTTTAAAATTATAAAATTTTGATATTTCTAACATGACGATTAAATTTTAATATTTTAAAACATGACGATAGTCTAGCCATTCAAGACACAAATGTTTCTATTTCAGCATTATTGAACGTGTTCCTCTCTCTCAACAAACATGGCCGATCTTTTTAGCAAATAAAGTATAGCACAGAACGCAATAGACCTCAACACACACATGGAATATAATACAGTTACATCACTTACACTACTCAGAAGGTAAACACGAATGACACAAGAGATGTTTATGTGGTACAACTGTACATAACTAAAGGTGTATGAATGTCGAGTTATATCAGCCTACACCATGTTTGATGTTGTCTGTGGATGTATAGTGTGCAATTCGGGTGCGGTGCAGTGCTAAGTACGTATTTTTTTTTTGCATGTTTGGTGTGAACAAAAAATAGCTTCACCAAGACCACGTAACTTAATTTCTGTACATTCCTCTCCTCCCTTGTTGGGATAAATTTTGTATCAATGTTTGTTTTATGTAGATTTATAATTACATTTTTTTGTAGAGCCATTTGAGTTTTTGCCTAAATAAAAAACAAGTTAATTAAAAAAGTCTAGTGACATTTGTGCGCAATTTCCTTATGTTATCTAAAAATAGCTCTGACGTATAATGTTGGGGTGCGTTCAAGCTAGAAGAACAATCGGTTTGTAGGTGTTTATGTAATTTTAAAATTTGTGACCGAACGAGAGAATATTTTTGAAAACTTTCTTCGGCAATATTGTTCTAAATTATGACAGGAATCGATTGGTACATGTTTCAAGTCGCTAAGTGGTCTGGTTGCCGAGATATGGGCCAAAAACTGAATTTTTTCGAGGTTTTTTGGCTTTTCCGGGAAATACATGAAAGAAACCCGGAATTTTTATGGCCTATGCTCATTCTCGTAACTTGCTTAACATAATTGCTTTTGGAACTATTCATCGATATTGCTTCGTTGAGGAGGAGATACGACTTAAAGCCCGGACACACATTCATCCATCCATCCATCCATTCCCAGAAATGACGAGTTAATAAACGCAATTCTCCAGAATGGAAATTGCGCTAAAAAGTGTTGATTTCTCCGTTTTGGGACTAATTCTCTCTGTTTAAAATAACTTATGAGTTGTTTCAGTTCAGTATGGTATATCATTATGTGTGCTTGCCAGTCGATCGAATCAGGACAGGACTCTCTGAAAATATGGTATGGTTATTTTGACCACTTACCAACCTTCCATTGATAGCCTTGCCCCACTTAACTACCGTTGATGACCCACTTACCAACCTGCCGTTGATGACCCACTTACCAACCTGCCGTTGATGACCCACTTACCAACCTGCCGTTGATAGCCTTGCCCCACTTACCTACCGTTGATGACCCACTTACCAACCTGCCGTTGATGACCTTTGCCTATTTACCAACCTTCCGTTGATGACCTTGGTCCACTTACCAGCCTGCCCCACTTACCAATCTGCCGTTGATAATCTTGCCCCACTTACCAACCAGCCATTGATGACCTTGGAGAACTTACCAGCCTGTCCCACTTACCAACCTGCCGTTTATGACCTTGCCCCACTTACAAACCTTCCGCTATCTGTCTGATATTTTTTTTTGAGAAACGAACTGGGCTTATCATATCTTTCCCCTACCACCCTCCTCTCCTCCATCATAGCGTGTCCACATTTAAGTTAGAGATATACGGAATACCAGTCGGTCCATCTATCCGTCCATGTATACATGGTCTTACACTTGCATAAAAAAAACCGATTATTTCGTTCTGTAACATACACCTAGTCCGGATATTACTATTTCACAATAACCATTGATGTCTTTCATGATTAAGACCTAAACATGTGAGCGATGTTAAGTTTGTCAATACACATTAAACCCGCGCCTCATTTAATTACTACAACTAACATTCGTAGCCCCAAAGAGATATAATTAACTCTAGTAAACCGGATATAAAGACGTTTTCTTCGTCATAAGGCTCGAGCATTCAATAATGATCTAGATACCACATCACTAGTTATGTGTGTATAGAGGTTGTATATACATAAAATATAACTATCGATGTATATTCAGGGCCGGCGCTACCTATAAGGCGAACTAGGCGGTCGCCTATGGCGCCGTCCGTAGGGGTGCGCCAAAATGAGTTGGAAAAACAAATTGAAAGTTTGAGGGGAGGGGGGTGCAAATCGAAAGTTTGAGGGGGGTGCAAATCGAAAGTTTGAGGGTGGGGTGCAAATCGAATGTTTGAGGGTGGGGTGCAAATCGAAAGTTTGAGGGTGGGGTGCAAATCGAAAGTTTGAGGGTGGGGTGCAAATCGAAAGTTTGAGGGTGGGGTGCAAATCGAAAGTTTGAGGGTGGGGTGCAAATCGAAAGTTTGAGGGTGGGGTGCAAATCGAAAGTTTGAAGGTGGGGTGCAAATCGAAAGTTTGAGGGTGGGGTGCAAATCGAAAGTTTGAGGGTGGGGTGCAAATCGAAAGTTTGAGGGTGGGGTGCAAATCGAAAGTTTGAGGGTGGGGTGCAAATCGAAAGTTTGAGGGTGGGGTGCAAATCGAAAGTTTGAGGGTGGGGTGCAAATCGAAAGTTTGAGGGTGGGGTGCAAATCGAAAGTTTGAGGGTGGGGTGCAAATCGAAAGTTTGAGGGTGGGGTGCAAATCGAAAGTTTGAGGGTGGGGTGCAAATCGAAAGTTTGAGGGTGGGGTGCAAATCGAAAGTTTGAGGGTGGGGTGCAAATCGAAAGTTTGAGGGTGGGGTGCAAATCGAAAGTTTGAGGGTGGGGTGCAAATCGAAAGTTTGAGGGTGGGGTGCAAATCGAAAGTTTGAGGGTGGGGTGCAAATCGAAAGTTTGAGGGTGGGGTGCAAATCGAAAGTTTGAGGGTGGGGTGCAAATCGAAAGTTTGAGGGTGGGGTGCAAATCGAAAGTTAGTCCCCGAGCACCGGGAAAGGTCGCTACGCCTCTAATAAAAACAAATTGCGGGGGGGGGGGGGGCTTCTTTTAATAAGTTTTGTCTAGGGCGCTAAATAACCTGGCGTCGGCACTGTGTATATCATAAATATACACAATGTATAATATTATATGCCTACTAGGTCTGTATGACTAATAGGGATTGCAGATTTCTAAGTAACTATGTAATCCAGATGCATTTTTATTTTTGAATTTAGATCATATTATTGTTTCTTTTTAACTTCATTTTAATAATTAAAAAATATTAAATTTAATAATATTAAGACAACCAGGTCATGTTTGACTTAAAACAGCCCCCCACCCCTTCTCCCCCCCCCCCCCGTTCACCTGATACTCTTGCTTCCGGTTTCCATCATAACTCACTGAGCCAGGGTCTGACAGAAAGGCCAACAAATTAAGGAGATAACACGGCTTAAAATAACCTAGCCTTCATCTCGCCGTCTTCAATCATCCATCTCCCTGACTTAGCTAGTCTTTACACAAAATCAACACAAATCGGAAAATTTAATTTGAAATAATTTTAGAGAAGGGCGCGCGGATAGAAAGGAAAAAAAAAGAAGAAAAAAATGAAAAAGAAAGAAAAACACTTGTCAAAAAAAAAGAGACTCATGAAAGTAACAATTTCAATTTTTACTTTCTAGTAAGCGTATACGATGTATACAGAGAGTAATCGTGCAAAAAAAGCCAAATCGAGATTTTCACAGATCTCGACGTTTTATTTGAGTCGGAAAATCGCAATTTTGTCTTTGCGTCAGTGTGTCTGTCTTTTTGTGTGTGTGTGTGTCTGTGAACATGATAACTTGAGTACCGTTCAGTTATGTTTATAAAATGTCATATACAAGTATTATCTAAAAAAATTTAGTTTATATTAAATTCGCTGCGATTTCGGGTAACCGCTTTGTTTAAAATATGAACAACATAGGCTGAGTCGTACAGGTTTATGAAAAGAGAACTTTTAGATCAAAAGAAAAACTGAAAATATGACGAGACAAGATGCAAGCATAATTATTCCAACTTGTCGGGCCTAGATGATAAATAAAAATAGATGGGAACCAATTACAGGGGGATTAAAGGTGGAGATTTATCCCCCAAAAAATATTCCAGGTAATGTTTGATGGTTGAAAATAATGATGAAAAAAATATCGGTTGAAGAAAATGTAGACAAAAATATGACGTGCGTGTATGGGTATTAGATTTATATTGTGATATGGTGTGGGGTGGGATGTGGTGGGGCAGAAGGTGTGTGGTGGGGTGGGGTAAACCTGGGTGTGGTTGATTTACGAGGTGGGTGGGGTGAAGCAGGGGGTGGAGGGGTAAGGTAAACATTTGTATGGTAAAGTGACGGGGCGGGTGAGCTTGGGGTGGAGGGCTAAAGTTAGTCTGGGTAAGGTGGAGTGATGGGGGGTGAGCTTGGGGTGGAGGGGTAAAGTTAATCTGGGTAAGGTGGATTGATGGGGGTGGGGCAGTGAAGGGTGTGTGAGTTGAGATAGGTGGTGGGTAGGGTGGGGTTGTCCAGGAGGGGCGAGGATAACTAGGGTGAGGCAATAGGGGGGGGTACGGTGAGTGAGACAAAAGGTTTTCTGGACTAGATAATTACTGGCAATCAGCAGCCTCACTACTCACCAACAAGCCGGTGCTATAGCCCCACTACCCACATACATGCCGGTGCTATAGCCTCACTACCCACATACATGCCGGTGCTATAGCCTCACTACTCACCTACATGCCGGTGCTATAGCCTCACTACTCACATACAACCTAGTGATATGATTAGATAGTCTCTGGCACTCATCAGCCACATTACACAACTACAACACGGAGCTGGTGACGCAACCTAGTCTAAAAATAGTTCGACATTAACCAGATTTCTGATCACGCTATTCTGCTTAAAATCAATTTCCGAAACAAACCAATTAAAAGCTTCCTCCCCCTTCCCACCCCCACACACCCACACACATATATAAACAACTACAAAGTATCAGATTTTACATACATACATTCTATAACGCAAGTTTTATATACATTCCACCAAAGATGTGTGTATGTATTTATATAACAAAATGACTTGAACCTAATGTATGCTTTACCTGATAAATATTCTAACAAACAAAAAATGTTTTTTCTTTTGTTTTTAAAATAACGAATGTTTCAAAACACCGGATATGAAATATATTTTTGTTTGTAGTCTCGGGAAATTTTAATAAGGTTTATTTACACTTCAAGTTATTTGATCTATTTTTTTTTAAAAACGAAAGTGGCTAGTAATTAGATGAATAAAAAACCGCGTATCCTTATGAAATAACGAAACAATTTCATTTAGTTAGTAGTAGACTAAACACGACAGCTAAGAACGCTTTGAACAAAGTTCTGAAAGTT